TGTTTAATTAAAGAGGTAAACTACCATGATCTTAACTATAAAAATTTTAATTTAATTATTAATTTTTCAAGACCAAGTATTTTTATTGTTCATATGTGTTCTCTCATATTTATAATTTATAATTTATAAAAAAAACTATAAATTTTCAGTTTTATTAATAATATTATCATATTTGAGATATGAATTACAACATTTTTATATATCTTATATTATAGTTGATTTATAATTAGATACATTTCATATATATTATTGTAGTTAATAAAAGTTAAAATTGGACTCATTAAAATTCATGATGGGTGTATCTACTATCTAAACTAGATTAACTTGATAATAGATGTTATCGGAATTCAATATTCAGCCAAAGAAATCATAAAAATAAGTGTTATATTCGATTTCTTGGCTAGTGGAGCTTCTGAAGACTATAAATCACTAAAGTTCAACTTTTCGGATGAATACCTAATGGTCATATTAGTAGAAGAAACAATCACTTCCACTTTTGAATGCTGGAAGATGAATTTTGACGGTGCCTCCAATTCTTCGGGACAAAATTGGGACATATTTTATCTTGCCTAAAGGAGATTATTATTCATTCATTAGTGGACTAAATTTCAATTGCACTAACAACATGACAAAATATGAGACTTGTATTTTAGAACTCTAAGATGCTATCAGACGTAAAATAAAGATTCTAAAGGTGTATGGGGATTCAACTTTAGTGATCTATCAACTTTAAAGAAAATGGAGATAAAAGATGCCAAATTGGTTGAATACCGAAAATTTATCTTAGAACAAATTGAGGAATTTAATGAGGTTACATTCCATTACCTACTAGAAAAGAAAACCATATGAAAGATGTTTTGGCTACCTTAGTTGTAGTATTTAAAATAAATGGAGGGGTTAAATATGATGTCAATCGAAATGCAAGCCTACGAGTATCTGACTCATTGTTATCACATCAAGGAGGAAGAAGATGATAATCTATGGCATTGTGATATCTTACAATACATTAAATTCCAAAGTTACTTTGAAGAGGCAATTGAAAATGACAAAAGAACAATTCTTTAAATAGTTGCATGATATATTCTAGATGAAAAAACCTGTATAAGAAAAGTCACAATCAAATATTGTTGAGATGTGTGGATACAAAAGATGCTAAAATGATACTTGAAAAAGTACACGATGATGTATGTGGCACTTATACAAATAAACATACAATGACAAGACAAATCATAAGATTCATGTACTACTTGTCCACAATAAAAGATGATTGCATCAATTACACTTGAAAAATGTCAAAATAATACTTGAAGAAGTACATGATGAGGTATTTGGCAAATTGGCACTTATGCAAATGAACATAAACTTGTCCATGTGAGGGTAGATATCATAGAGTAAACCTATAAAAAAAATCAATGGTCATATATTTATTCTTGTGGCAACTGACTAGTTTACCAAATGGATAGAAGTTGTGTCATACACCAATTTCACTCAATCAATTATTTGTAAATTCGAGGAAAAAGACATTAAGAATGGAATTGAAATGATATCAATGCTAGATCTATAAAGTTTAGGGTTTTTTTGGTCAAACGTACACTAAATTCACATTCAAAATGGTGAGACACATTTGATGAAAAATTTAAGAGTTATTGACCTCCGAAGAGGTGGCCAATAGTGATCAGAACAATGGTCGGTATGATGGTCATAATCTGGATTTGTTCAAGTTGAAAAGAGAAATAGAGAGAAAATATGAAAACGATGAGGAAGAAGAGAATGAAAATAGAAGCAATTTTAATTATTTATTTTATTTGTCTTTTAATGATTTAAAAATATTTATTTACTCCATATCATAACGCCATTAGGAAGTTAACGGTTAACTGGAAAAAAATCAATGTATAAAGTTGAGTAAGTTAATTGATAATTTTGAAAGTATAATAAGTAAAATAGGAAAAAGTAAAGTTCAATTATTAATTTGTAACACCCACTAAAATTATAATGGAGGAAAACTTTAATAGGCAATTGGAAAAAAAAAAGTTAAGATGCAAAGTGGGAAAAATAGTATGCTTCAAGGGGTAAGTTGTGTATTAGGTCATAATAAAACATTAATATGTTTAATTTTAAGGTAAACTGCATGTTTAATACGTAAATTATTGCTTTTGTTTTGTTTAATACCCATACTTTTTTTAAAAAAAATATTTAATATTTAGTTTATGTTTTAATTTAGTGCCATGTCGTTAAAAAATAAATAGAATTATTGATGTAACATTTTTTTATCTTTTTCAATGGTGACATGTCATTACCTTATAATAACATGTCAACATCACAGTTAAGTTTTTAATGGTGGGTACCAAAATGAAACCTAAACTAAACGTTATGTATAATTTTGAAGAAAAAGTTTGAATGTCAAAACGGAAGTAATAGTTTAAATACTAAACATGTAGTTTATCCTAAATTTTATTTCGCTGGTTTGGGCCAGTAGCTACAAGTTGTAAGATTACTGTACAAGTGTAACTTTATTAGTAACAGAATATCAAAATTACATAGAGCCCACAAATCGAATAATTCGTCCGTACTCTAACTCAATGAATACTAGGCCTGTAAATGATCTGAACGTTCAGCGAACCGTTCATGAACCGTGCGGCGGGAAGTTCGTTTATGTGCGTTTATTTATTAAATGAACGAACATGAGCAAGATTGTGTGTTCGTTTAATTAAATGAACGAACATGAACATAGGTCTCGTTCGTTCATTTACGTTCGTGAACGTTCGGTTATGTTCGTTCGGTTATGTTCATTTATGTTTAACCCAATCTTCTTAAATCAATTTTGGTGACCAATTTGTAAGTATCTTAAAAATATTAATTAATCTGATATTCTGATGACCAACTCCATAATTAACCCAATTTTATTTGGATATTAAATCCAATATGTTAACCGGTGAGGCACCTCGCACCTATATTTTATTATCCCATTTTTTCCCAAACCCTAGTGTTCACTGGAGAGTGGAGACGATCAGTGAAAGCTTCAAAACAAGTTATATTATAATGCAATCTGAAGTTTTACAGGTCTGTTTTCATCTCTTTCTCTGTTTTATTTGGCTTAATAGTTGATATGTAAAGTTATTGTGGGTATCTTCACATCTAAAACTCAATAAAATATCATACTTCTTTCTAGAAATAAATTAGAAGATAAAGGTAACAATTGGAAGTATATAAACATCAGTAAAGAGAAAAATATATATAATTTGTCAAAAAAACAAAACAAATGTTTATATGCAATTTATGAAAAATAGTGTAATAGCGAAAGAAAATAGGTTTTTCAGGAAAAACCCATTAATAAGTAGAAAATACACTTTGACAATGAACTTTTGTTTTCATAGTTTTTGTGTGACCTTTAGTTGTGGAATATACTTTAGGTACGTTAAAATTTTGAATGGTGGTTTAGCAATAATATCAGTTAGAAATGTAGCATCAGAGAGATTTCGGATCTATGTTATTACCTTGTAGTCCAATTTCTACCGTTCGAAATTTTCATGCTGTTAAATTTTCTACTCTGCCAATGGAAATGATCATTATTAACAAATCTCACTAAAGTCTGACATTTATGTCACAAAACTTTTAGCCGGCGAATTTATTAGAATAATGTAATGGAAAATGATTTTTTATATGTAATCATGGACCACTAAGATAAATGTTATAGCGTTAAATTAAAGTCGTGTAAATCATTTAATATCTTTAAAAGATCGATCGAAATATCTGATATATTCAAACATTTCATCACTGCTACAGCTCTTACACTATTTATCACTGTAGATTTGGTTGATTTGCATTGTCGACTATTTTTCATGAAAGAATAATGGAAGGTAGAGTCTCCAACGTTTATGTTCGTGCTCATTTATGTTCGTGTTCGTTTATGTTCGCTTATTTATTAAATGATCGAACATGAACAAGCTATATTCCTTAAATGAACGAACATGAACATACATCCATTTGTATGCGTTCGTTTACAGACCTAATGAATACATCTTTAGAAAGGTTTATAAAGTCCAAGTAAAAATGATTAATATACATGTAAACGAATCGAACGAATACGAATGAGAGTATATTTATTTTTAATTATTTTATTTTTATTCGTGTTCATTCGTTAAATAATATATTTTGTTTGAGTTCGTTCGTTAAAATGATAAACGAACACAAATTAATGAACGTAAACAAACACAAATGAATGAGCGTAAACGAACATAAACGAATAAGTATAAAATTAATTGGGTTTGTATTTGAGAAAAATATTTTCTTTTCAAATAATTTTATAGTTTATATTTCATTTAATTGATTTTCTTTATTTGGGTTTAAAAGTAATTGAGTTTTAAAATATTAATGAGTTTAAGTTAAAAAGTTATTAGGCCTAATATTTTAACATGTTTAGAGATTGAGTTAATATAAATGAACAAACATAAACGAAAGAATATAAACGAACATATTATCAAACGCTCATAAACGTAAATGCACAAACAATATCTTTATTCATGTTTGTTTATTTAATTATAGAATAAAAATATTGTTCAAATTCATTCGTTTAATAAAATATTTGAACAAATACTACTTTGTATTTACCCCAGATTAATAGAAGAAAAATAAAAAATAAATATACTAACATAAACGAACTTTTCACTAAACGGTTCATGTCTGGTTCATTAAACGTTCGGTTTATTTACATGCTTAATGATTCATTTAAAATATATAATTAATTTCACGAACCAATTTACCTCAATGGTTAAAGGAATCAAAAGGTCATGAGTTCGAGCATTAGCAACTATAAAGATGATTGAACGTTCATTATCAAGTGATTAAAAATATTTAAAACATATACTACTTTATAATCGTTTTTAACTTAATAATATATATATATATATAATTAAATCAAAATTAGCGCACTCGTGTCTTTACCACTAATATATAAAGCGGAGAAAGGCTACGCAAGGAATAATAAATGTTTATTTTATTAAGTAGTGATAAAAAAGAATTGTTAAGGCAGAATTTCATTTTTCAGGTCTCCTACCTGAAGAAACGAAAATCGAAGCCTCTCTCTCTAACCATGAGTCTTTTCGGTCTCGGCAGGTGACTTCTAATTTCCACTTATTTCTTTATTTTTTTTACTTCTCGTGAAATAGTTTGATTATTTTCCTTCATTTTTTATTTATTTTTTCATTGCTTGTTTGCGAATTGCATTGATAATTCAGTCGGTTCTGTTGTAGTTCTGCAGCCTTTTGTGATTCAAGATCAGCTATCAGCTTCTTTTTTTGGGCATTCTTTAGATTTTTAATTACAATTATGAAAACATTTCTTTTTTCTTCTTAATTTATTCCCTGATTCTTTGATTGCTCTTTTGAACTGTACCTGCAATTCATTTTTTTACCTAGGGCAGTTGGCTGTGGTTAACGTTCTTTTCTTTATTAATTTCTCAAACTCAATACTATCCGCTAATTATTGTTCTTGCTGTTGAAGTATATGTTAAAAGATTTCCGAAGCCTATGCATTTTAAGGAAAGTGAATCTTAATGCATGTTAAACTTGTCCTCTTCCTATGATTAAAAGCTATGAAAAACAGGTGGTTTAAGTGAATGACTTAATTGGAAAGGTTGAAATGGTGAACATATACTAAATCATTAACTTTTAACTTATAGATACCATTATTGGCAAGATTGGGCTTTGTATCTTGAAGCTGAACTTTATCAAGTAAGTAGCAAATTAGATCCATTGACAATTTGATGACAATTTTATAAGGTTTGCGATGGCAGAAATATCATAAAATTGAATTAACTGGAAGAAAAGTGAAAGGAATGTCCAAATCTAGTCTAAGGAAAGCTAATTATTTTTCCGAAAATCAATTTACTGATCTTCTTCGAATGATGCTGAAGATCTTTCAGAATTTTCTGCTAGACGAGCTCTAGCTTTCTATCTTGCTCTCTATCATGCAATACGTGTCCATGCATCTCTGATCAGCATTGGTCACTGCTTCAAGCATAAAGAGTAACACAGAATTAATCTGCAGAAGTTTTATATATATTTGTTTGTTTTTATAATAAAGAATCAATATGATGCTTGGATTGAGTTCCATTGCTTCAAGTGTATGATCCTCGAAATATGAAATATCTTCAATGTTCACAAGCTTCTAGTGTATGATCCTTGGAATATATGGACCTTGTTTGGTGCCTGCATATTTCTGACTCCTACTCCCAATTCTGAGCAGAATAGCCGGTAAAAGATTTGTGTATTTTTCAGTTTTTCCTAATATTAAGTTTCTCTGGAAACAGAAATCAGCGTACATTCCGCCCAAAAAAGAGTGCACCTTCAGGAAGTAAGGTTGGTTGCTTCTTCTTTTCATTTTTTCTAAAAAAATATGATTAATGTCATCCCCTGCTTGTCAGAAGTTGATGTGATTCATCTCTTAAATGTTCTTGAATCTTTTCTATTGTTGTTGTGATCTCATTAGAAATATTTTTTCCTCTTTTTGATGACTAAGAACTTCTTGGGTGTGAACATGCAACTTAAGACTGGAAGTATACTTGAAAGTTCCAGATATAGGAACATAATAAAAGAGAGAACAGCTTAACACCTAACAATAAATAAAAAAATCCTGAAATGGACACTGAAAATTTATCTTTATTTGAAAAGCACATTTTCTTCACCATACCTATCAAGAGAAGAAAAAAAAGTTCACTTACCGTTATTTATATTTAAAGTATCATTGCTTTTGATGTCACTTATTAAAACAATAATTTTACATTACGGTGTTTACTATAAGTTTCAGTGGCAAAGTTGAAATACTACAAATTTTAATGCTTTACTGGTACGTATGACGGTCAGGTCATGTGATAATTCTTTTACTAATTAGGTATCTATGTCTAACATGGTTAATGCTGCTGTGTTATTAAGCTTGAAATAATTTAATAGCCTTGTTGAGGTTTCTCTCCAGTTATTCAGAGCTGACTTCTTTATGGTGCCTTCATATAAAATTTTAAGGACTTCATTCTTATGTTTAGCGAATTTGTAGTTCTAATCATAGCATTGTAATCTTGACATAATGCAGGGTGCACAGCTTAAAAAGCACATTGATGCTACCCTGGGCAGTGGAAATTTAAGGGAAGCAGTTAGACTACCTCCTGGCGAGGATTTAAATGAATGGCTCGCAGTCAACAGTATATTTTTCTTCTCTCTCGTTCTTTCTTACTCGCATTTTTGCGGCAACCACATACACACACAGTCTGAATAAATCTTCGTCTATATATTTGACAAATATGGATATAATTTCTCCTTGAATTTTCTGCTCTAGTATGACCTTGCTGTTACTGTCGTAGCAGCTGATATTTTCTTTTTGTATCCCATTCATTAGTTTTTTTATAGGGTGTTTTAGTTTATTTTCTTCCCTATTTCTAGGTTACTACCAAATTTTCTTTGAATCTCATTGTTAAAACATAATTATTGGATCTTTTTCAGCCGTGGACTTCTTCAATCAGGTGAATCTGCTCTATGGTACCCTCACGGAGTTTTGTACTCCTGAGAACTGTCCTACAATGACTGCAGGCCCTAAGTAAGAGATACGAACCATATTCCTTTTGCCCTTTTCAATAAATTAGACACAATCCTAAATTTTAATATTTTCCTCATGACCTCTGTCATGTTTGGATCTGTTGAAGGTATCAAAGGCTTTTCTCTCTAATGATGGATATATGCACAAGATAAAGTTAAATCAGGACTCCTTTCACTTAAATTTAGTCGCTTTATCTCTTTGAACTAGATGTTACTGTAGTAATTTAATTTTGTCAAATTATATGCATCTGCTAAATTTTATTGAATTCTGAAGTCGGAATAAATAATATTGTCTGGCAGGTAGGATGAGACTTTGACTATATATCATGTTTTTATTGATTTTGATAGTGCTAGACTGTGATGAGAATGTTGGCTTGCCTTAGCCTTCTGTAATAATTTGATTTTTGCCTTATATTTTCAAATGCCTGTAGAAAGACATCAAATATGTTGTAGCTAAAAGTGTTCTTTAGACTCAAAAGCCTTATAGTCATGTAATTCTGTCCAATAATATACAACTTGTGCAGATGTAACTATGAAACTTTGATCATCTTTCTCCCCAAACTTCTGTATTTTTCTTATTTTCATGTTTGGTTCTTGTACCTGGTTCTTTCCGTCAATCAATTTAATAATTCCACGCTACCTGTTGTGCACCTTAATTTTAGTATACTTGTTTTTGAAAAATCTTCAAAGAGTATACTGTGAATTACTGAAAAGAGGAGAGAGTTTACTGGAAGAGAGAGTTGTTTTCCTCTGCTATTCCTCTGCTATTCGAATAAACAATTAAATCAAATCTATTAAAATAGGCTGAGTTACAACAGTGGAGTTCTACTAGGATTTACAACATAAGGGTCCTGCTAGGTGTTTACTTTCTTATCTAAATGGATAACTATCTTATCTTCTACTTGGATAAATCTAAAATACAAGTTTAATACAGAGTAAAATACTAATCCAAAGTACACGGCTATATCCTACATATACCTTGGGTTTTTTGGAGCTGATCATTTGTGCCTTACAAAACTTGCAGGTACGAATATAGATGGGCTGATGGTGTGCAAATCAAGAAGCCTATTGAGGTTTCTGCTCCAAAATACGTTGAATATCTAATGGACTGGATTGAAGCACAGCTCGATGATGAATCCATATTTCCTCAAAAGCTTGGTAATATCTTGACCATTCATGTGTTTAGTCGTCTTTTAATTCTTTGTGATGAAGTCTGATGACATTCTGTCACTAGAAAAACATAATTGTTTGCTTGTCTATGCATGATGACAACACCGATTGATATTTTTTCTAATATATATACATGTTCAAAAAGGAAACAAAATTATTTTGCCTTGTGTCTATGAAAAATTCCTTTCTATATTTAACTGCATACATAAAATTTGCTAGGCGCACCATTTCCTCATAACTTCAAGGAGGTGGTGAAGACAATATTCAAAAGACTGTTCCGTGTATACGCCCACATTTATCACTCTCACTTTCAGAAAATTGTGAGCCTTAAGGAGGAAGCTCATCTGAACACATGCTTCAAGCACTTCATATTGTTCACTTGTGTAAGTCGTCTTCTGTCCTCTGCCATTATTTACCTTTTTATTTTTTTGTTTTTTTATAGGAAAGGGAGACCTCGTTAAAAAACCCCTTCATACCTTAAGAAATATGACTATTTCGTATGGCATTGGAAGGAGGAAAAGAGTGTCTCAAAATATTATTGAACAAATCTTATCAAAAAAAAAATATTATTGAACAACCATAGAAATACAACATAGGAAACAGAAAACACCTAAATGCAACGAAACATAACATTACAACCCCCCCCCCCGAAACTAACACAACTTGCCTACACGCAGCCCCACTCAGCCAATTCCCTCTTTTGCCAACTTATCAGCCTCCCAATTAGCCCCTCTGGAAATATGCCTAATCATCACATCCTTATCCTAATTAACTCAATAATCTTATTAAACAACGAACACTCAGAATTAGGACAACCACCCAGGTTCTTTATCCACTTAACCACAACAAGGCAATCACACTCTACAATTAATCTCCCTTTACAACCCCATTGAGAATCAATAAAAGGGTTCAGGCCCCTTATAATTGCCAACATTTCAGCAACTGTAGGGGGCCCCTGTCCCACTGCCTCTGAGAAAGAACCCAACAGAAAACCACCTGAATCTTTAATAGTGCCTCCAATGCCCCCTTTCAACCAATCACCAGTGACAGCACCATCCACGTTCAATTTAAAGAAACCTGAAGAAGGCGGAACCCAAACTGTCCGAGATAACACCTTACTCCCGTGGCTGCCCCACATATCCGCAACAGATGGATCCCCCATTAAACAATCGAAAAGCATAGAGAAATCTGTGTGTTTAGCAGAGAACCAGGCCATGAGTCTGTATCTAGTTTCGAAAAAAAGATTAATCTGATCCTTAGACCCCCCTCAAACACTAACCTGTTCCTGTATTTCCAAATAGATCACATAACAGCACCAGGAATAAATTTCCAGATTTCTGATTTCTCAACCAACCCCCACCAAGCGTGCAGAAAAAAATCAGGAGCAAAATGCAAAGGGGAATGAACATTCCAAAAGCGCAAAAACCTGCACCACAACTCCCATGACACAGAACAGGTGAAGAACAAATGCGACACTGATTCAGGAAACAACCCGCATAACGGGCAAAAACTATCCACAATACCGGGTACTTTCCTATTCAATAACTCACACTTAACAGCTAATTTCTGGAGCATAACCTGCCAAAGGAAAGATTCCACCCTAGGAGGCACAAAACCACTCCAAACTATTCTACCCCATTTATAATTAGTCCCCAACACCTCGTACCAGCCCTTAATACAGGACCTAACCGTAAAAACCCCATCACCACACCCTTTCCATAATAAACAGTCATCTCGCCTCTGATCAATACACAGAGTAAATGCAATAATTCAATTCACATATCCCCTTCCCAATCCGCCAAGTTCCTCCTCAATTTGATATCCCAAACCCAAGTTGAAAAACAAAACGAACCAAAGTCTGAAATTTCCCCCCTTTTATTAACAATAAAACATTCTTGGGAACCTATCCTTTAAAGACACCCTTCCAATCCAAACTTCATGCCAAAAAGAAATAGACTTCCCATTCCCAACTTTCAAAACCAGCAAATTCCTAGCATACTCACCCAACACATCCTCTTTCTTCCAGCTTTGAACAACACTCTTCCACAACCAAGAAGCATGGCTAGGTAACTCCTTCAATAAAATATCATTACCATCCAAATTATATTTACAACAAATCATATTTTTCCACCAGGAATCCTTCTCATTAGAAAATTTCCTCACCCATTTTCCTAATAGAGCTCTATTCATCAGCTGTAGATTAGAAATACCCAACCCTCCATTGTCCTTTGGCAAACACACAGATGACCACCTAACCCAATGCAATTTTTTCCTCTCAGCCGACCCTCCCCATAGGAACTTCACAAGCACAGTCCTGCCAGCCATCGTTTACCTTTTTATGCAAATCTAAATAAAATCCTGTTGTTTATATGCAAAACTTGGAATGCTCTACCACATAAGTGTAGGCTTACCATAAACTTTTCCAAGCAGTCCTGTTTACTTGTCATACATGCATTATGCATCTCATGATTTTCAACGAAAAATCTGGATCCCAACCCTCAACCAAACAACTACCTGAGTCAAGCCTTTGGTTAATTTGTTTGTTGTCTTCATCTTTATCTGATACATGCTTTCTAGAATGGAAGTTGAGTAGGAAATTTTCAGGTAAAATGAGGATGTTGTTACCATGTGCAGGAATTTGGGCTGATTGACAAGAAAGAATTGGCTCCTCTTCAAGAACTCGTAGATTCCATCATAGTACCCTACTAAATATGTAATATATGTTAACAGGTGTTGGAGAATGGAGATCCTGAGAAAGATGTTCATTTAGTGGATCCAAATGCAATAAAGTTTGTTTTATTCGTGTGTCACTTAAAACTTTAAGTCTCTATTTCTGTATGCTGTAAATGCAAATTCATATTTCATATTCCTTGGATTTAGAATATTGCAAGACTGGCCCTGTTGTTGTTTCCTTTCTTTTTCTTTTTCTTTTGGGTTAATGATAAAATAAGTTCCTAAAGTATACCTTTTTGTTAACTTCAAGTACCTAAAGTATGTTTTATTCAGTGTCTAACGTTTTCTCCGTTGTTCTTTTAAGTGCATACGTCGTGATCGTTAAAAAAAGTGTTATCTGACTTGTGTCGTGTTTATATATTTTTTTAAAAAACTTCAAATTATTATTATTTTTTAACAGGTTCAAATTTCTTTAAAATCAAAATCTCAAAATTCTAAAATTCTAATTTCAAACCCCATCACTATCGTTGTCGACTGTTTCTATCATCAAACGATTATCCACCCATCATTTGTCTTAATTTATTAACTATCACCCTTGCCAACACTCCAAATACTTAATCCCTACACCTTTCAACTTATAAAAATAAAATTTAAAGTTTATATATCGTTGTTTTTGTTTTAACTTATTAAAGTTAATCAACCATCGTAACTTTCTTATCATAAAAAATTCAAGGCATTATAATTAATCAACGACTAACATATTAAAGTACCAATATAGGAAAAATAAAATTTAAGTACCACTTTTGATAACAAAATTAAGTAGAACTTATAAAAACAATATAGTTAAAGGTAGATTTAACATTTATGCTTAAATAATAATAATAAAAGTCAAGCTTCTTCGATCAGAGTTCTAGAGGTTTCTTCTGGATTAACCTGGTTTGTTTTCGTTGATAATATCAGTAGGGGAGTTCACAGGAGAGCTTTATGGGAACGGTTCAATCACCATGGAAAGGTCACCAGGGTTTTCATCCTTATTATTAATAGAAGACCGAAATACAAAGATGCAACGTTTGCCTTTATACATTTTGTGAGCAAAGTGGATATGCTTAACGTTGTGGAGAAGATGAACAATGCCATGGTGAATGAGAGGAGAATCAAAGTAGGAATTGCTAAATATGAGAAGCATTGGTTCCAGAGGAGGTTGGGGGTGCGCATACGGAGGTTTTGAATGATGTAAAGCTGGGGGGTCAGGGACGATAGGTCTGAAACACTCTGTGAAATATGAGGAAAAGGCGGCCTTGTTTAATAAGTTCTATGATGGAAGGTCATACAAAGATACGGTGGTCGGGTTAACAGAACTTCAGCTGGTTCGCAGGATATAACCATTAGAGGTCTAGGGGCGACAAAAAGACCTTTGAATGTATTTATTATGGTCGAGGATAGGGAATGGTTGAAGTCGTCCATAACTAGTATATGTAAGTCGGTCTTCGATTTTAAGTTTGTCCAAAATACTATTTGGAATGTGGGCTTCAACGCAAAGGTGGTCAAGTGGGGTTTCGCCTGGAATGCGTGCATTATCGTCTTCCCGTAGGAGAAATTGATGAAGAAAATGTTAGAGGTGAAGTTGAGGAACTGAGTTTCTAGTTCAAAAGATTTGAGCTAGTCCTGGTGGATGAGAATGTTCCTTTAGCTTTCTGCGTAGTTTCCATGATCAGAGTGCCTTTAAACTGTTGAAGTGAATCGTTCTTTTCTAATATGCGTCTAGATGAGGAAAGCTGGTGAAAATTCAAAAGAAATTCTCAAAAAAGCAGATTGTAGAGTAGCTCAATTGCTCCTAAGGGTTGGAAACCCCTTTGATGTCCCTTCACGTATCTTTATCTATTCGAATGGGAGATCGTACGTGATAAAATTCAAGGTAAAGTTGGATGAGGAGTTTTTCCCAGAGTTATTGACTTTAGATGAAGATGATGTGTCTGAACAAGCTTCGGAGGAGAACTCATCGAAATGGAGTATGAGGTCTGAACAGGATGGTAGGACGAGTAAGGGAGTTCAACAGACATAATCGACTTCTCAAGAAAGGGATGAGGCTTGGATAAGGGATAAGTAGGAATGACAATGGGTCGAGTTCGAGGCGAGTTTTGCTCGCCCCGTCCTCGAACCCAAAATGAATCCCCATCCCCAACCCGATCACCGATGGGTTTTTTATTGGGGCACCCCGTCGGGGATTTTTTTTGCCCCGTCCCTGACCCGAAATATTATACCCAAACCCGAATCCAAACCCGAAAATATTTTATATATAATTAATATAAAATATAAAATATTATATATATAATTAATATAAAAAATATAAAATATTATATATATATATATATAATTGAGGCGGGTCGGGGCGGGGATACCTTGCCCTAAACCCGACCCAAAAAAATCCTCGATACCCGACCCGATATCGTTCAACCCGACTCGACCCGAACTTGACCGGGTTTCGGGTTTCCCTATCGGGTTCGGGTCATACTATCATCCCTAGGGATAAGCGGACAGGTGGCAGTGCTGGTATTTCTTTCGGGATCAATGATATGGGTTGTTTAAGACAGATGTCTTCAGTAGGTTTGTTGAGGGACGAGTTAAGTGAAGGCGTGGAACCCACTCTGTAGGCTGTGTCGACAAAAGTTAATGGGGACAGAGAAAAATGTAAACGATTGGTTGGATTTTCTAACAGTCTTGACTATTATTTGCAGGTCAATGGGTCTAACAGGAGTCTGAATAATTTTATCGAGAGTGGGCCTCATAAAAAATAATACTAGGCTATTTGAAACTAAAGCTAACAGATATGTCGAGTCCAGTGTCTCTTAGTCTAGTTCAGCTTCCCTAAACAGACCTTATACTTATGTTCAGCGTGGGCAGTCAGGTAGGAGTGCGTCTATCAGGAGAGTTAAGAGCATGCCCTTTGATCAAGACTATTCGAGATCAAGGATGAGGGGAGCAAAGAGTTGTAGCGGTGAAAGAGTATTAATCTTATTGCTGAGAATGCTGGAGTTAGAGAAGGAGGCGATAGAATGTTGGGATGTTAGTGAAATTTTGGGCATTATGTTTAGACGTGGGAAGAAAACCTTTAAGAACAGAGTTGTGACTTTGGCAAATGAGAGGGTGCAACAGGGGGATTGTTAATTGGATTGGGCATATAAAGAATTGGGATTTGAGCTTCGTTATGGGTAAATTGTTCGTAATGTCGTGGAATGTCAGAGGGTTGGTTATGAGGGTTAAAGCTAGAGCACTGAGGCGATTGATTGACAAGAAGAAACCCATTTTTCTTTTTTATTCAAGAATCGAAAGTCGAAGCAGTGCGACCAACATTAATTCAGAAAATTGGGGGAGGTTGTTATGTGGTTCGGTGGTGTCTCATGCCGTTGGCTTTGCTGGTGGTGTACATCTATAGGAATTTTGTTGCAGTCACGGGCAAATTGGAAGGTATACATGACTTATATTGCTTCATAAATGTGTACGATCCAAGTATTGATTTAGAGAAAAAAAACAGTTCTTCCAGGATATCGTGGAATTTTTAGAGCGACTTGAGTGTCCAGTGTGTTTGGGCGGAGACTTTAATGCAGTTTTATCGTAAGAGGATAAATTAAGTGGACCTGCGAATTCATTTTCCATGGGTTTATTCAACGATTTTGTTTGTAAGGCGAATATAGTGGATTTGCCCTTGTCTAGAGGACTTTTCACATGGTGCAACAATAGGAAGTTTCGAATTTTGTTAGACTTGATCGAATTCTACTTGATCAAAGATTCTTCTCTCTTTTTCCTAAAGTTAGTCAAAGCTTGCTTACAATGTCAATTTTAGATCATAATGTTATCATACTGAAAAATAATGGTATTAATCGGGGTCTTAAACCATTTAGGATGTTCAACTACGTTATGAAGGAGGTAAGGTTCACTGAGATAATGGAGAAGGAGTTGTTCAAGATTCGTAGAAGTGGGAAGAAGTCAAATTTCAATGTGCTTAAAGGGATATAACTTGCGGTGAAGAGTTGGTCAGGGAAGAGACATTTGGAGTTACCTGGTAGAATTTACAGTCTTGAGAGATTAATCCAGGAGATGGAAGTGGTTATGCAACAAGGCTTTTCTACGATGTCTATGAAGGTATTGGTTGAAGCGAAAAAAAAAGAGTTATGAGAACCTTATAAAAAAATTGATTTGACTACAAAAGTCGAGATTGAAGTTGGGTTTGGAAGGGGATAGGAACTCAATATTCTTTCATCAGTGTACTAGAATTAGAGGTAGACAAAATGGTATTAAGTATCTCAAAGTGAATAATGAACAAATTTATGATCCAAGATTGATTAGAGAGTGTGCGGTGAATTTCTTCAAAAAAGTGTATAATTAGAAAAATGCTTTGGAATTTGAAGGTATGGATTTGATTTTTCTAAAACTATCGGAGGGTCAAATTTCATTTCTAGATAAGCTCTTTTCGGAGGAAAAGATTTGGGATGTATTAGCACTCTCGGATAGTAACAAAGTTTCAGGTCCCGACGACTTGAACTTACGGTTCTTCAAAAAAATTTGGCCGAATTTGAAAGATGAGATTGTCGTTTTCTTCAATGAGTTTTATGAGGGGAAAGAGTGGGAGAAGGGGATGAATCACTTATTTATTACTCTTATTCTGAAGAGGATCAATTCGGATTGTTTGGGAGATTTCCGGCCTAATAGCCTTGTAGGAGGGCTATATAAAATTCTTTCGAAGGTGTTAGCAAGAAGGTTGAGATTATGCATCAATGGTTTAATTAGCCCTTCACAATTCACTTTTATTATGGGGAGACAAATTATGGACTTTTCATTTATTGCGAATGAGGGTGTCGAATTTTATAGGAAAAAGGGTTGAAGGGGGTTATCTTTAAGGTGGATTTAAAAAAGCGTACAATTCAGTGGATTGGTCGATTTTGTTGAGGATCTTGGAGAGTATGGAATTTGGTGAGAAATGATGTTCTTGGATTTTCAAATGTGTGCCACGACTTCTATTTTGGTGCTAGTGAATGTGTCACCTACGGAAGAATTTCAAATTGTTAAGGGGTTGCGTCAGGGTTCTCATTATCCCCTTTTCTATTTAATTTGGTTGGCGAGTTATTAAATTTGTTACTTACTAAAACAGTGAATGTTGGGCTATTCAGAAGCTTTGAGTTAGGTTCTCAATAATGTTCATTCATGTTGTCGTACTTGCAATTTGCAGTCGATCTCATAATTTTCCGAAATACCTCTTTACGGGAGTTGAAAAAATGTAAGAAATGTGTTATTAATTTTTGAAATAATGGCTAGGTTACAGTTAAAGCTTACAAAGAGAAAATTTTTGGGCATCAACGTTGTTCCAGAATTGATAAAGGACTGGGGTAAGGATATTGGGTGTTCGATGGGGTCATTTTCGACAAAGTACTTAGGGTTACCTCTTTGGACTAAGAGGAATTCGATAGCTATATGGGAGCTGATTGTTCAAAGATTTCATAAAAAGTTGGTTGGTTGGTTGGAAAGCTTCGTCTTTTTCCCTAGCAAGGAGGGTGATAATGGTGAAATCAGTGTTATATGTTCTTCCCATATACTTTATTTTTATCTTTCGATTACCAACATGTGTTTTGACCAAGTTAAACTCCATTATGGAAGCTTTTTTGGGGGGGGGATCGATAGATAAGAGAAATATTCATTGGGTGAATTGGACTTCTGCGTGTAGGCCAAAGAATTTGGGGGGTTTGGGTATTCCTAACATGAACTTACTAAATAAGGCTCTTTTGGGAAAATAGATGTAGAAATTTGCTTGTGAGAGAGATTTGTGGTGGAAAAGGGTTGTTTGTTGTGTCAATAGTCTGGATCCTCTTGCAAGTAGGGTCGATAACTTGTTTTCCAGTCGTTCTTCGTGGATTTGGAAATGGGTGGTGATTTTTTTTACTCAAGCGATGCATTTGGTGACTATCTTAGGTAGAATATGAGTTTAAAAGTCGCTATTGGCGAGCCTGTGGTGTTTTGGCATGACATTTGGTTGGATTCGATTCCTTTAAAAGACATGTTTCTGAGGTTATTTGCTCTCTCGATTAATAAAGGGGGCAAAATAACTAAATTTAGAGTTAATACTTTGACATGATGAGTGTGGGATTTATAAATGAAAAGGAATCTTGTTAATTGGGAGCTAGATTAATGACTTCTGCTTAATACCATGTTAAATAACTTTTTTTTCTCGACTTCGTCAGAAGATTATTGGATGTAGACTTGGAATGAGGATGGTGTTTTTCAGCAAAGTCGTGTATTATAATTTTTTTTAAAAAGACATGTAATAGTATTAATTGGGACATATTTGTGTGGCTAGGGATAGCCCCACCTCATGTTGGAAGAAGAGTTGGTTAACTGTGGAGTTGTAGGAATTGAGGATACATTGTGTCCGTTTTGTGACAAGTTCTTGGAGATTGTTCCTCACTTATTTGTTCATTGTGAGGTGGTTTAGGGTATATGGTCGAGATTTCTGCATCTTTGGGATTTTTTTGTTATTATGGAGAGTTCGGCTATTCTGATATCTAGTTGGGTAGATTTAGTTCCGCGATCCACTATTTGGTCTTTCATTCTTGGAGCGGTGATGTGGTCGATTTGGAAGTGTAGGAATGAGATTGTTTTTTAAAAAAGTAAGTTGGACTTAACGTTGCTGTTTTTTCTGGCAGATTTAGTTCTGCATGGTATTTAGCTAGATTTTAGGATATGACTATTCCTTTCAATTCTCTTGTGGGCGATCCAAAAGCAGTTGATTTCGTAGTGAGTAATAAGAAGGACTTGCCCTCTTTGGAGCGTTGGGTTCCTACTCCTTTAGTATTCTTCAAACTAAATGTGGACGATGTTATGGTAAAATGGTGGTCAAGAAAAGGTATTGGTAGCTTGCTTAGGGACAATGACGGTGTGATGATTGGTTCATTCTCATAAAGTGTTGGTTATGGGCCTCTTATCCTAGCTGAATTATTGATAATTAAAAGGGGTTGCTTTTATTTGTGGAGCCTGGTTGTGTTTAAAGGGGAAGCTTATTTAGAGTAGGACTATTCTACTGTTTTGGAGTGAATTAAGAATTTGGGTCATTGCTCTTCGTTGTTCAAGTGAAAGATATTGTTTATGTAGTGGTTGATAAAGGGTGTTGTAGTTAGGAATATTTTAAGATCCGCCAATTGAGAAGTGAATAGACTGACTAAGGTTGGAATTGGTTGATATTGTCCCGTAAGGGGTATTTTTGTGTTTAATCTTTGTTTTTATGGTGGTCGTTGTATTGAGTGTTTTATGTTTTGGTTGGGTTATATATTGTTGTGGATATTGGTTGTACTGTACTGATATTATTATAAGTATTCCATTAATAAATTTGAGGTATTTTTTCCCTCATTTCAATGTCCGTCAAACTACGGATATAGTTTGAAAGGTATGAATGAGAGTTTTTAACGGAAACATTCCATATTTTTATCAAAAATAAATAAATTATATAGCCAGAATTCAAGATAAATTTATTATATATTGGTATAGAATGGAGTGATAAAGTCGAATAATTTTAAATTAAAATTAATTGGTAAGTAGGCACTAACAAAGAGGAATCTAGTAAGAGATTGAATCTTATCCGTTGAATCCAATAGAGAATGAGCACGTGGTGAAAGATGCAAGTGCAGGTATGGTGAGAGTACATGGTATGTAAACGCCACTTAAAAACAAAAACAAAAAGTAAAAAACCTCCTAAAACGAACCGTCCCTTTCTGCCTGCAAAAAACGCGAATCTTTCTCTTTCTTGTATTTTTTTCCCACTCATTATCTTTCTCTCTCTTCGAAATTCCCAAAAGCAGACAACGCAACACCTAAATCGGATCCGAACCCTCCTAACCCTAGACGCAGAGTTTATACTCTTCGGTTTCCATTTCTATGGCCATTCCCTTTTCTTTTATTTCTCTCCCGAAAAGACTGGTTCCGGAATTTTGATTTTGATTTTTAGGGTTAGGGTTTTATGTTTTTCCGAGGGGTGGATATAGGATTAGGGTTCAACTTTTATGGATTTTGAAGGGCTTGGCGGTACGGATGCTTGTGGTGGTCGTCGGTGATGACCGGAGCCCTATACCACCGGCAGAAGAAGAAGATGATGGGTAGGGGTGCGGACAGAGGTTGCGGCACCGAGGAGAAGCCTTGCCGCCCCATTTCTAGGGTTTCTAGTCGGAGTCCGTTGACCCAGCCCGAGACTTCCGGGAAGCAATATGATATTGGTGTTGATTTCTTTTCTCAGGCACGGAAAGCCCTTAGCCAACGTTCACCTTTTGATATTCCTGAAGGTGGTTCTGTTGCCGTGTTGAGCGTGCCAACGCTGCCCAGTGGATTGGTTAGTTTATTGAAGCAGACTGATAGTAGGAAGAGACATAAAAAGTCGCATTCAGGAGCAGATAAGAAGTCATCAAAGCAGGGGAAAAAGGCGCGGGAAGCCAGTATTTGGGTTGAAACGGAAGAATATTTTAGGGACCTCACATTGCCGGATATCGATGCTTTGTCTGATATTACCCCATTTAGGTCTTTAGCAGCTAGGAAGAAGTGTTTTATGATTCCTTATGTTGGAAATGAGCCAGCTGCGAATTTGAATTTGGATACTGAAGTGGACGACAAGGTAAGCGTGATTAGTGGAGAGAATTTTAATATTAGGAATGAGCACGGCAATATTTGTGAAGGGAAGGAGGTCTTCAGGGTTGAGGATGGGCAATTAATGGAAATTGATAGCCGGGCAACGCAAGCTCAGTTTTCACTGAAGGAACCAGAGTTGTGTTTTGCTCCAGATTCAACTAGTAGTTTAGAGTTGCTTTTAGGTTCTAGGAGTAGGGTATTGTTAACTTCAGAGCGACCTTCGAAGAAGCGGAAGCTTGTTGGAGAGGATGCTGGGCTGGAGAAAATATTAATCGCATGTCCATGTGATGTGAATTCATCTTTATGTAATTTTTGTTGCACAGGTGATACCGGAAAAGAATCAAACAGATTAATTGTTTGTAGTTCTTGCAAGGTTTCTGTTCATCAAAAGTGCTATGGGGTGCAAAATAATGTAGATAGTTCTTGGCTCTGTTCTTGGTGTAAGCAGGGAAATGATGGCAGTGGTACGGTGAAACCTTGTGTTCTTTGTCCGAAGCAGGGTGGTGCATTAAAGCCTATTCAAAAGAATGATGGAAATGATGCCTCTGTGGAGTTTGCTCACTTGTTTTGTTCACAATGGATGCCTGAGGTTTATATAGAAGACTTGAAAAAGATGGAACCAATTATTAATGTGGGAGGAATAAACGACACTAGAAAGAAATTAGTTTGTAATGTATGCAAGGTGAAGTTCGGTGCATGTGTTCGGTGCAGTCATGGTATGTTTGTTGCTACCTTATTTTTTACCATTCTGTCTCTCTTTTTTGGTTGCTGCTAGGAGGGTATCTTTTTATAAAATGTTTGGCTATTTTTTTTTATTTAGATTTGCAACTGCAAAATGTGTTACTCGAAGTGCTTCTTATCAAGAATAATGGCTATTATTTTGTTGTGTTATAAGTAGTGACTTCAAAAAGTTCAAATAAAATAAGGGTTTTTTTTAATCCATGGCGTCACCTCTATTTATGCTTCTTATTATCAAAGAACCTTTTTTTACCTTTTATTTTTTGTTAAAACAGATAATTTCCAGCACTGAGCATGACCTTTTACAAATAATTTGCATTTATTGGCTGAAATTGTTAAGTGTTTGAAACAAAGCAAGTTGGATTAATCAAATTAAAGAACCTATCTAAAACTTTTTGCCCTTTATGGGAAGCATTAATCGTTTGCCACCTTCCATGCAATATGATGATACGAGGGATATCTCTTCTCTATGCATTGGGTACTTCATCCCTTTCCATATCTGGTGCAGCAATTATTCACACTGACTTAGAATGGTTTTCTTTTTTAATATCTGCATGAGGGTTTTCTGGTGGAGAGAATATCTACAACTACTTGCCTTTTTTAAGGTACCATCCCTGCTATCATCGATGGCAGTTCGGGGGAATGGACTAAGTTATTTGAGAAACAATACTAAGAGTGAAGGCAGTTGTATCAGAAAGTGATATTCTGTGTACAAACAAGAAGCATGGCCACTTAGGGTCTTGCGATACAAGTGATTTGTTAAAAAAATGTGGTTCTTAAACTTCCTGCGTTTTAGCTTTTCATGTTTATTGGCACCTTTAGGTCTATGATTGATTTAGATCCACATGGTGCAGAAGTTGGCAAAATTTGATTAAGAATAGTTGTTTCTAGAATCCTTCTTATTTATCTAAAGGTCTCTCCTTTCTCTCTTTTTTTTTCATGGGAGGTAACATACGTGCAACTTATTTGGTGTGCCATTCCAGGCTTTATTCTTATAAAAATGTGAATTAGATCTGTTTTATGGCCATAAATTACTTGGTAAGGGAACTTGTAAAAATAGAATGCTTGATGGAAGCTATTCATCAACTTCCTTGTGTATCAACCTCCATTATCATTTGTGTCACTTCTGCTCTCTTTCAATTTAATATTGTTTGGCCTGGAAACTTTCTGAGAGTATATGAAGAAGGAAACAAGGTAGTTTGAGAATTGAGATTCCTTCCTTGGTCAAAAACCTTTATAGAAAGTTCCTCATCTGATAATATTACTATCCTGGAGATTAACAGGTTTACCCGAGAGCATCTTTTTTCTGTCAGAGGCTATTGCTTAGTTTAGAAAATGTGTTCTGAAATTTGAACTTGTGCATTATGTAAATATTTATTGAAGAAACTAGAGAGGACAGTTCAAATGCTTTATATGCTGACGACTTTTGGGGTTCTTTCTTTTGAAGCAAGCGTGAGATCTCATTTAGGGATACTGTCATATACAAGTACTTACAAGAACATTAGATTATTCTTCTTCCCTTTTGATATCGACTTGCTTGGACCTTGTGTAGACTTTGGATGAAGTTGTAAGGGTGATTGCAGCTGATCAATGCTTAATTAGCAGTGGAAGGAAGTTGTCATGAAAATATTATCCATTTCATCTTGTTTCACGTACTTGTTACTACTCAGAATAATCTATCATTCCAATATTTTGGATTAGAGATGGGCAATGCCAGATAGAATTACTTTGAGGTGTTCTTGCCTTCTGTTGAAAATCATCTGGTCTCTTTATGTAGGCAGGGAATTCTATTGGCATATCCATGCCCAATGTTGATGGTAAGGAAGAATAACGTTTTTTTTAATTGTTTTTTATCATAGCCAGCAGTGGTTTTTCATTCCTTTGCCTTGTGACAACTGCTTGGGTGCCTTGAAGATCCGATTATCAGTTACCTTCTTGGGTTAGCAAATGATAATGGACTTCAAATGATTAACTTTCTGAAGTCAAAATCTATTAGCACTTTCGAGGTTCCAATAGTTTTATACTATCATGTGTTGTTGAGTTGTGGGAAATCGGTAGTTCAATAGATGGTATTAACTTATGTCCAAAATATCAATTTCTTAGTTTTTTGTTTTAATACTTTTTAGCCCATAAAACATTTAATCGTTTATCAAAGGGCACAAATTTTATAAAAGAGAAAACTCAGATAAATGAAAAATTATCTCAAATAAATTATCACAAAGGTTAGACAGACCTTCCTTGCTTCAATGCTGAGCTATCTGTTGTCTTGACATGTTTCGTTCTCCATTTATCAATATTCTTGGAAGTCTGATTCTTTTATGAGGCTTCCGGTTGTGATGGATGTTAGTGTTTTTTGCAGGAACTTGCAGAACCTCATTCCATCCTATATGTGCAAGAGAAGCCAGGCATAGGATGGAAGTTTGGGGAAGATATGGGTGTGATAATGCAAGTATCAATTCTTTTTCCTGTCAGATTTTTTGTTATTATTTAATAGCAGCTACTTTCTTCATATTTTGAGGTTCTATTGTCATAAATGCTCTGTATTCTTTCTACAGATCGAATTACGGGTGTTTTGCTCTAAGCATTCGGAAATCCATGATAACAGCAATTCCCCTCCACTTGGAAATCTTTTTGCTTCTGGCACCCACTCTTCTATCACCAACCCACTTCATCTGCAATCTATGGACAAATCTCAAAATTCAAAAGTTAGCCTAAGCAATGGAGATAAAATTGCAGTGGACATAGAAGCTCCTGGTACCAGATCAAGTTCCCAAGCTGCATCAGAATGTGGTGAGACACAGCAGCTGGGTGATGTGGGGTTGTTGGGGAAGAGCAATGATGACGAACATAACCCATGTAACTCCCTTAATTTTGCAATGATTTTGAAGAAGGTATCTGATCCTGTCATCCATGGGTTTATAATATTTTTTCCATGTTTTAAAATCTCTGGATTTTTTGATCTTACAATCTACAAATTATGCAGCTAATTGACCGAGGGAAAGTCAATGTAAAAGATGTAGCATTGGAGATTGGACTCTCGGCTGATTCTTTGAGTGCTTCATTAAATGTAATCCCTGTAATCATGGTTTCTTTATCTCACAATTGTTTTCGGAAAGCAGTTTCAGTCCTCAGTTGGTGCTTTCATCTTTAATTTTCTTTGATGTTTATTTTTGGTTTTTCTTTCTTCAGAATGATAGCTTGTCACCTGACCTGCGATGCAAAATAGTGAAATGGCTTAGTAATCATGCATATATTGTCTCTTCCCAGAAAAATTTAAAAGTTAATATGAAATCTTTGATTTCATCGAAGGATGAGATTGAAGCAACATATATTTCTGATGATATAATGGTATCCAAGTCTGACATAGCAGATCTTGCTGCTGTTAAGCCTATGCCTCCTCGAAGAACCAAGAACAATGTAAAAAATTTGAGGGATAACAAAGTAATATGCTCTGATGAAATTATTGATGATATTGGGGTAGTGATGGATGAAGTTAGTTGCGATCTGCTTGCTAAGGAAGAAACAAATGATTCAAGTAAAGTATCCATTCTTGGTACCACTGGAAAGGTAATATTGCAAATCAGTAATGTTCATTTCGAAGGGTTTTTTGGGCCAGCTGTCTTTTAAGTTTAATTGATCATTCGGTTGAATTTTGCATTTGAGTTTGTCTGTTTACTTCTATTTGCTAATAATGGCTGTATGTATAAATTCCTTGAGTACTTCTTTATTATTAGTATCTTCACAATTTACCTAATCTGGTAGAGTACTACTTTTTCATTAGTAACCTTACAGGTGACTTTTTAGTTTCCATCTTTGGAGCGCATGTTTTATACTGCTGGAGCTTTTCCAGTTTACTAGATATTTTTAATCTTTGACAATGATTATTTTTGAAGTGCCACTTCCTTTTGAGCATATCGCTTATGTTTTCCGCTCCCATCAGCCATCAATATCATTTGTATATTATAACTATGAATTTATTTTCTTTGATGTCATAGGGGATTGATGCTTTCTGGAGTAGGTTTAGATGCACAAGGGATTCTCTTATGGGCTAAATCTATGTTAGGAAAGGACCTTAATTTGCCTTATTTAATTAAGGTTTAGGTTACACTTTTATTTCTTTCCTTATGCTTTTTATTTTTGTTTATCTATTTCCTTTTAAGAATAGGTTTTCTCTTTATGTAACGAGACTGATCCTTATTTAAATGGATGCATGGAATAAAAACTCTAAGCAGAATTTATATCAAAAACCCTAAAAGATTGTAGCAGATTCCTTAGTTTTAAAAAGTGTGTCTAGGTGTGCCTAAGGTGCTAGGTGCATGTGGGCACCGAACCAAACGCCTTTGGGGGCACAGGTGCAGCGCAAAACGGAAAGCTCTACCAAGCACACGCTTTGGGGCTTTTCTGAAGGGGCGCAAGGTGTGCGTTTCAGCTGCTTTGGGGGGGAGAAGTTTAATAGGAACAAATAATGGGTTATTAATTATTTTAATAAAATTTAAATGGTTTTTTAGTAAAAAAGGATTCTCTGCCAGCCCAGCACCCCAAACCTCCCTACATTCTTTTGAAAAGAGTAAAAAGCAGTAACCACTCCACCACCAGCACAGCATCATGCCACCAATCGGAGCTTTCCAAGGCCACCGTTACACTCTACCTGTCACACCTGCCAGATTTGCCTTTCTCTTCTCCATCTATTCTCTTTTTTTTCTTTTCATTTTCGGTCTATCTATTCAATTTAGTGTTTTTAGTTTTCTTGTGAACCCACTTTTATAAGACTATTCACAGCGTCTAGCGATGCACATCCTACACCTTAACATGCATGTGAACCTCTGATTATACTAGTCAAAATATCTCACAAGTGTACAAAGTGCACAGCTTGCCATTGTATTTAACGCCCTGTGCCTTTTAAAGCTAAGATTATGCCTCCCTTTGGTAAGTGTCAGTTCTCTTGTTTCTTGTCTTAGGATCTCATGTCATAAAAGCCTTCTTTTACCTAATGCTTTGATTTTGAATTTATGGAGCTTTTAGATATTCCTTTCCTATACCAAATATGTTTTAGTTGTGTGGGCCATTTGTGTTACAAAACGTTGTATAGTTTATGTAATGATTCTAGAAAGTTCTTTTAAAGCTGGCATTTGGGCACAGTTATGTTGCTGCCTACGAATCTATTTTTCCCTTCACAGTTCTTTTTGTTCACCAATCCTTGTTTGAGTCAAGTTGTGTACAATTATTTTTATTTACCAATGCTCATCTGTGCCAGTTGTTCAGAGAGTTGATCAACCATGCCCTCCTTTAATTTGTAAAAATTTGAAAGTGTTCCTTTTGTGATGCATTTAAAACCAATATTTTAATCCATGTTATTAATTAACATTAAGAAATTATAAATGATGGGAGAAGGCTTCATCTTCAGTGAAGTTGATCATGATTAGATTTTCTTAGTCATGTGAGAACAATTTCAGCCTTTGCCTTATAAGGTGTGCTCATGTAACTGTACCAAGCATAATCAGGAAACATCTTTTAATGAACTAAGAGGTGCAAAGCATGAATTTATGATGTGTAAGATAGTGCCCTAGTGTTTTAATTTCTCCCTCTTTTCAGCTTTCACTCTGAAAAATTTGTGTGTGATCTGTGGATATCTTTCAATGTCTGAACTCAAAATATTTAAAGAAGAAACTGCTTTGGGAGTATGCTTCTGTGCTGCATGTGTTGTTTGTTTACTTTAGGTATTGTATTATAGGTTACATTATTTTTTGTCCATGTATTATTTTTAACGCTTTCTTCCATTTCTTAAATGATGTTTCCTCGTCTATGTAGAATTCAGTCAACCCTTATGGTTACAAGGACCCTTTGGAGAGTCATTTTCACAAATTGGAAGGTATTCTTTGTTGAATTATTTGCTTTCTGTGATACCCTTTTTGTTGGTCAAGCTATTTGCAGGGAAAAGGTTTAATATCATTTTTCCCCTTTTGGTTCTGAAATGTGAATGAGTTCCAAGGGAGATAGTTTTGTTGAAATCAGTTTACAGTGGGCCAAGAGTTCTTTTTTCTTTCCGAAGGTTTTCTTGAAAGAACTAATGTTTAGCATTTTATGTAATATTGTACTTCTTTCCTGCATGTGTTACCCAAAAGTTTCAGTCTGGCATGTGTTACCCAAAAATTCTAATTGTCGTTCTTTGTGATTCTGATGGGGATTGTATTTATAACTTAAAATTGTACAAATTGGACAGGGATTTCAACTGATCTCTTAAATGACAGCCTTTATGGAAGGAGTCAATCAGAGAGGGCAACGACTCCTGAGAAGAAACAAGATCAAGGAAATGCCATTTGTCCAATGATTAATCCAGTTATTGCCGATCTCATGTAAACTCTGCGAAAAGCCTCATCTATTTGTTAAACCAGTATCCTTTTTATTTATAGTTCACAGGAGATTTTCCTGTCTATTTTGATGAGATAATTTCTGATTCTTAATAATTCTGTTTTGCAGAAGAACTGAAGAATTTTCTAATTTTTACATTCACCCCTATACAAGGAAGCAAATGCTGGAGATGCACCATGGGATGCTTTGTAAGAATAGAGTGGGTGAGCTTAATGGCAAAAAGGACACCTTAAAGGAGTTCGATGGCAAGTTTTCATCTCATTATTTAGGCTGCAATTTCTTCTTTCTTTCTGCTTGTCGTTTTGGGCGGGTCTAATAAGTTGCACTTCGCAGGTGCAAGTAAGAGAGATCTCTCTTGCCTGGTAGCATCTTCAAATGCTAGTGTTTGCTGCAGTCACCAAATTGATCATTCAAAGTGCAATGAAAAGAGTTGTCAATCTGATGATTTAGTGCTGTCAGTTAAGGCCGGCAAATTGGGAGCTATCAAATTTTCTCCCGAGGATGAGGTAGAAGGGGAAATTATATATTATCAGCATAGATTACTGGGCAGTGCAGTTGCAAGAAACCATGCTACTGGTAATCACTGTTTCTACTCTAGGGTTCTTTCTGTGTATGTGTGTGATGTGGCCTATAACCTGCATTTTGTGTGATTTTCTGCTTGCAGATAATTTAGTTTCTAGGGTTGCTAAAAGTCTACCACAGGAGGTCGAAACAGCAAGGACAAAGATATGGGATATTGTGCTTGTTAATCAATATCTTTATGAGCTAAGAGAAGCAAAGAAGCAGGGCCGCAAAGAGAGAAGACATAAGGAGGCACAGGCAGTGTTGGCCGCTGATACTGCTGCTGTAGCTGCTTCCTCCAGGATTTCATCATCAAGAAAAGATGGCTTGGAAGATTCTAGTCATCAAGAGGTTATTCATATGAATCCTTTTTTCTGTATATTTTCTCTTGCTTTTAAATAAGGATAAAATTTATTATATTCTCTTTGCAGAATGTGTTGAAGCCGAATGCTTCTGTTGGAAGATCTGGCATTAACTCTCAGACAAGTGCAAAAGATGCACTTTCTAGGAATGCTGTCCCAAGGATTTCGTCTGAAAAGTACTCTGATAGTGCTCAATCAGTGACAGATTTTTCTAAAGGACATCCTAGGTCGTGTGACATATGCAGACGATCTGAGACAATGCTAAATCCTATTTTAGTCTGTTCTGGGTGCAAGGTTTTCTGTCCTAAAACCATTGTTTTTTCTTTCTTTCTTTAATGAGAAATTTTAAATGTATCTGTTTGGAATTTTGATTTATCCCTTCTGCTCACAGGTTGCAGTTCACTTGGATTGCTATCGCAATGTTAAAGAATCTACAGGTCGTTGGCGCTGTGAACTATGTGAAGAATTGTTTTCATTTAGACCCTCTGGAGCTCCATCTCTAAACTTTTGGGAGAAACCTTATCCTGCTGTTGAATGTGGCTTATGTGGTGGTACAACTGGTGCTTTTAGGAAATCTGTGGATGGCCAGTGGGTACATGCTTTCTGTGCTGAGGTGATTTTCTCTATCTTGTTTTGATAACGTTTCATCTCTTTTCAATGAAATGAAATGAAGTGGTTTTTTTCTTAATATTCATCTCTTTTCGATGAAATGAAGTGATTTTTTTCCTTATTATTTTGTAGTGGGTTCTTGAATCAACATTCAGAAGGGGACAAGTTAATCCTGTCGAAGGAATGGTATGTATATGTGTAAAGCGTTAGATTTTCTACTTGGATAGAGTTTTATAGATATTATTTAAATTTTTGTTGAATGGAATGTCAGGAGATGGCTTCAAGAGGAGTTGACGTTTGTTGTATATGCGGTTGCAAGCATGGTGCGTGCATTAAGGTGAGATATATAATTTCTTTTCTTTTTTGTAAAAAGTGCTTATATTACATTGAAATTGTTCCAGTTAACATACTTTGTAGCTAAGCAACTGCAGTTTTACTCTTTGCAGTGTAGATATGGTCACTGTCAGATCACTTTCCATCCCTCCTGTGCTAGAAGTGCTGGCTTCTGTATGAATGTGAATCTTGGTGGTGGCAAATTGCATCACAAAGCTTATTGCGAACAGCACAGTGTAGAACAGAGAGCAAAGGTTTGATGACTTTGATTTCTTTGAAAAGTTACTGAATTTTTTGTTGTATGCAATTTTTCCTGTATTCTTTCTGTTCAATAACTTCCGTAGGCTGAAACACAAAAACATGGAATCGAGGAGCTGAAAAACATGAAGCAAATTCGGGTAAAGACTTTCTTGCCAACTTTTGGGTTGCTTGGATATGTGCTATGTAATAATTTTGGTGTGTATGCTATTGTATGGATTGTGTGGTCATTGCATTTTTTTTACCTGGATTCTCCTATACAGGTTGAATTGGAGAGATTACGCCTTTTATGTGAAAGAATCATCAAACGTGAAAAATTGAAGGTTGTTTTTCTAATTTAGTCTCTTGTTTTGCGGATACGACTGCTGCTATTAGTTTTTCTATTTCATACAAGTAAATATGAGATTGTAAATTGTGAATGTTTGCAGCGGGAGTTGGTTCTTTGCTCACATGAAATACTTGCTTGTAAAAGAGAGCATGCCAGTCGTTCAGTGCTTATTCATAGTCCTTTTTCTCATCCGGATGTTAGCTCAGAATCTGCAACAACTTCTCTCAAGGGCCATACAGATGATAACAAATCATGCAGCGAAGCAATGCGATCAGATGATGTAACTGTCGATAGTACTCTTTCAGTGAAGCGCCTAGTGAAGGTTGTTCCTGTGCCTATGGACAATAATCGAAGGACCGATGACAGCTCCACTTCCCTAAGCCTTTTTGTTCGGAAGCCAACAGAGAGGGTGCCATTTTCTGGGAGGCAAATCCCTCATAGATATTCTCTTGCATCTCGTAATGCTTTGGTAAATGCAGAATGGAACTCAAAATCCAGGAAGGTATAATTTTGTGCACTTAGATTCTCTATCTGATGATTTCGCAGACAGGAATTTGACTGATGCTTGCCTTGACGTGAATCTCAGCCTATTGAAACATTTGAAAAGGAGCTGGTAATGACATCGGATGAAGCATCTATGAAGAATTCGCGGTTACCGAAAGGATATTGTTATGTTCCTGTCGACTGTCTTCCCAAGGAGAAACAGCTCCCACAGGATGCTTGTTCTGATGGACAATTGGAGCACAATGGTTAGGCTTTGTCAATACATTGAGGTGTTTCACTTGCCTTATGAAAGGTGATGGCCATCTATGCCTTGATACTGTTTTCTGTGCGGAACCTGAGGTATATATTTAAGAAGGCAGTTGAGTGGTGAGATGTTGATTGGTTGATGTTATATGAGGAGAGGCGCATCATGCATCAAGTTACTCGAGATGGGGAAGTTTTGGCATATCATTTGTTGTATATCTCAGAGTAATTGTACAGTGGGTGAGAATTTCATTCCATCATGTTTTGCCAGTGAGGGATTGGGTACAAAGAAATGAAGATTCACTTATTGATAAAAAAATGGCCCAACTGTGCGTGCTGAGTCTGATGTATAGTGTATTAGTGTAGTTGTTGTAAATGTTTTTAACATTAACCTGCAAAAGAAATGTTGCTCAACCAGAGATTTTGATGCATCATCTCCACTCGTTTGGCACTGCCTGCTGCTCTGTTTTCTTACCATGGTTTGTGCTAGATGACAAATTTCATATCAAGTGGAATGTGGTGAAATTTAACAGAAAATTTTATAATGTACCATATATTGTCATAGGCTGTGATTGCATGAATATACAGCTTCCATGGAATCATATTGTATGGTATTCACGTTGGTTATAAATGCTCATGGCAACATTAGTGTCAGCCAGGAACACTATCTGAATGCACTGCTCTTTGGTAGGGGTCACAAAAAATCCGAATATCCGATTTTGCGAAAAAAATATCCGAAATCGGATTTGGGAAAAACCGGTTTTTTTTAACCGGATCGGATTTTTTTAAACCGGTTATTTTAAACGGTCTGGAAAAAAACCTAGACCGGTTTTTTTACCGGATAAAAAACCGGTTTGAAAAAAATCGGTTAAAAAACCGGTTTTTATCCGAAAAAAAAATCGGTATGGGTTTAAAAAACTAGTCGTTAATATAGCCGTTGGAGGGGGTTTTGTGACCGTTTTTGATCCTTTTTTTCTTTAAAAAATTACTATTTTACCACCCTAAACATGTATAAATAGGTTGGGGATGTATTTGGTTGATTACAACTTTCTCAAATCTTATTACACAACACCTAAACATCTCTCAAATCTTATTTTTGTAATTTTTTGTTCATCATGAGTAACACGGTTGAATATTCCGTCAGGGGAAACCTTGAAGTCGTGAGAGTGATCGAACACACTCGAAACAAAAATATTTGGGATCACTACGATTTATGTGAGATGTCAAATGGCTCGAGGAGGACGCGTTGTAAACTTTGTCTAAAGTTGCTTGCATCGGAAAGAAACACAACGTTGAAGAACCATTTGACAAAATCATGCAAGACACTTCGCTCAAGATTGGATCCTAGTCAATCGAATCTTACACCGCAAGGTGGTGTTTTTGTTTACGACAACGAAAAATTACGAGAAGCGTTTACAAAGTTCGTGATTACAAAAGCATTGTCGTTCGATCACTTTGATGATGAAGATTTCACGACAACAATTCAACAACTAATGCAACCACGTTATACTCAAGTAAGTCGTACTATCCTTAGAAGAGATGCTATAAAAATGTGGCGTACGGCGAGGGAAAAAATGATTTTAGGATTCCAAGAACACCGTTATGGTGTGTCGCTTACATGTGACGTTTAGAGTTCCCCTCATAATACCGGAAATTCTTTTTTAGCCGTTACGTCTCATTGGTTAGATCAAGATAATTGGCAAATGATGAAAAGAACAATCGCGTTTGAATTATTCGGTGAGCCGCATACCGGTGCTAATTTATTTACACTTTTAAAAAGTGTAATTTGTCTTTATAAATTAGAAAATAAAGTTTTTTCTATATCTTTTGATAATGCATCGAATAATACAAACGCGGTTCCAAGATTGAAAATATTAATTTCACCGATTTTAGACGGTGCGTTTTTTCATACCCGTTGCGTTGCACACATAATTAATTTATCCGTGCAAGCCGGTTTGGAGGTTATTGAGCCGATTAGATTAGAATTTAAAACAATGATAAAATTGGTTCTTTGTAACAACAACAAAAGACTAAATGATTATAAACGATTTTGTAAGTCCGTTAATAAAAAAGCTTTGAGTCCTAATTTGGATTGTCCAACTCGTTGGAACTCAACTTGGATGATGATGCATACTGCCTTAAGGCAAAGGGAAACATTGCAAATATTTCACGATCGGCTTTTCGAGATGGGTCATGTCCCAAACATTTATCCGGATTCGAGTTGAGAAACTATAGCCAAAATAACCGATTTGCTTGGGGTTTTTAAAAATGCAACAACTTTTTTATCCGGTGTTTATTATCCTACTAGCCCGTTGGTTCTTAATAAAATATTTTTGTTGGCTACTCGACTAAATGACTTTGAATTTGAAACCGAAGTTTTTCAAGAAATTGGCTTTGCAATGAAGGAAAAACTTTTAAAATATTTTAAGGAGATTCCCCCCATTTTTACTTGTTCCGCCGCTTTAAACCCAACGTTAAATGTTGGCGGGGTTGAAACACTAATTGAACAAATTGCGTTTGCTTTTAATCTAACCGATGATGAACCCAACTTTGTCCAAAACCAAATAAATTATTTTAACAAATGTTTTCGAGACATGTTTGCAATTTATTTGACTAAATACAGATCAAGTAGTGTAATACACGATCAAATGAGAATGAATGCGGAATCATCTAGTAGACGTCCAAGTAACATAAATTTGAATCTTTTTAACACTCTTGTAAATTTCCAATCCAAACGATCACGTACTACCACCCCAAGTAGCGAGTTGAGAAATTACATGTCATGCGATTTTCTATCAAAAATGACATTAGAAGAGTTTGAAAGTTTGGATATTTTGGCTTGGTGAAAAGAAAAGGAAGCACAATTTCCGATTCTAGCCGCCATGGCCCGTGATTTACTAACCGTCCAAGCTTCTACGGTAGCTTCGGAATCCGCTTTTTCTGTTAGTGGCAGGGTTATATCGCAACAAAGATCAAGACTAAGTCCCGAGTCGGTGGAAGTATGCATTTATTTAAAGGATTATTTGGATGAAGCGGCTCGTAAGCAACATATCACCACCCTAGAAGATGCAATTGATGCCGATTTGGAAGCAAACTTACACATTGAAGAAGTCGAACTTGGAATATCCCCTCCAAACGAAGAAGGCGAAGATGATGAAGAAGAGATGGCAATGTAGTTTATTTTTAAACTTTATTTCAATTATCGTAAACTTTGTTTCAATTATCGAACTTGAAGTTTTTAAGTATTTGAATTTATCGAACTTGGAAGTTTTTAAGTATTTGAATTTATCAAACTTGGAAGTATTTAAGTATTTCAATTATCGTAAACTTTGTTGCAATTGATGACGATGTAATTTTAATAATATTAAAATCGGTTTTTTTATAACCGGTTTTTTTAAAACCGAAATCGGTTACACCAGTTAGGATATCCAGCCCTCCAAACCGGTTAGAAACCGAACCGGTTATTTTATAAACCGGTTTTTTTCTATGGGAAAAAACCGGATCGGATAAAAACCGATCCGGATCGGATTGAAATCCGACTTCTGTGCAACCCTACTCCTTGGCAACGACTAGAGGTGCACAAAAAATCCGAATATCCGATTTTGCGTAAAAAATATCCGAAATCGGATTTTGGAAAAACCGGTTTTTTTAAACCGGATCGGATATTTTAAAACTGGATAGTATAACCGGTTTGTGAAAAAAATTGGACGACCGGATTTTTTACCGGATTAAAAACCGGATAAAAAACTGGTTTTTTATTCGGAAAAAAATTTGGTATGGGGTTTAAAAATCCAGTCTGGGGTTTAAAAAATTGGATGACCAGATTTTTACCGGATTAAAAACCGGTTACACCGGTTACATCATCCGGCCCTCCAAACCGGTTATGATCAGAATCGATTTTTTTATAAACCGGTTTTTTGACTTAGTAAAAAAAATCGAATCGATTTTTATCCGATCCAGATCGAATTTAAATCCGGTTATGTGCATCTCTATCAACGACACTCCTTGAAGTATTGCAACTAACAAGGGTCCAATTAGCCTAATATCTACCCTTTTCTTCTATTACTCTTCCTTTTCGTAGCCCATTTTCCTTTTTCTTCCTCAGTCATTGAACTAGGATTCTCTGATTGAAATCCCTAATCATTCCCCATTTTCATCAAGGCAATGACAAATGCTTGTTTTATTCTCTCTACGTTTTCCTTTTTCTGTTCCAAAGGTAAATTTTCATTTATCCGTGAAGTCTACTCTCTCTACGTTTTCCTTGTTCCAAATGTAAATTTTAATTTATCCGTAAAGTCTACAATCAAAGAGAAGTATCCAAAAATAGCCCTCCACATACAGAAAACTTTCACTATATAATATCCAAGAAACAATATAACATCAAGATTGAAAGTCAGGTCATGCAGGATAAAACCAACCGATTGCTATAATAGAGTTTGATATGAATTCATCGAGTGACCTTAGTGGTAAAAATGATTGTCGTTATCTCTAGAGGTCTTAGATTTAAACAATTACATCTATAGGGTGTATGCACATTAATAGGTTGAGAAAATTCTGTATAGATACCACTATATAAATCTATTAAAAAAATAGAGTTTCATACAACAATAAATCCATCAAACTAGGGTAACAGTGAATGTCTTCTATTATATGGACATATTAGTCAAACAGTCGATGTCCTTTATTATATATCTATTAGTCATAGGTGAATTATATAGGTCCACTTGAGTAATTATATTGTTGCTGTAATTTCACTTTTAACACTAGGGTCACCAACAATGTTTAATCTTTCAGCATTTTGTCTGCATGGAAAGATCCTCCTTTTACAAACAAAGCAGCGTGAATTGTTGGCCAAGACAGTTATCATTGTGCAGATGATAAACAAGCCAATGCTTCAACTATAGGATATTCTTTAAGAAAAAAGTATGAGATTTTTATCATAGAAATAAAGGATATAAAAACGGATGAAATGTATTTTACTGAGAAGATGGCTTTTGTGTGGTTGTGTATGTTTATCTTTCACAATTCACCGCACATGTTTACCCTAGAAAAGATGGAGTTTTAAGAACAAATCAGTTATTACCATTAACTGACCTTGTACTTCCTTCAAACTGTTGTGATTGGTTATTGATGTGTGTACTGTGTTTAGTTGAATCTGTTGAAGTTGTAAGATTTTCAATGCAACCCCACGCGATCTCCTCTCCAAAAGAGTATCCCCATCTCCTTTATCACCTTGTTTTAGAACTCTCTTCATCACTGACAATGGTGGATCCATATTCTCAATGTTGATTGAACCAGAATTCTCCTTCTCATCACCATTCTTGGACCGGCTTGTTCTATTGACCAACACTTGCTTTCTTCGCAACTGGTGCTGGTTAAAACAGCTCATTGAGCTTGATGAAACTGTTACTGCTCTTCACTTGTCCCATGC